GAAATTTATATTTATCATTAACCTCTGTGTAGCCAAAGATGGAAATTCATAGCCAAAGACAAAGGTATAAAAAGGGTTTTTATAATAATATAAAATAGATAATACAAAAATAATTTTCTCAATGATAAGGACAGTTGATAAGACAATTTACTTGGTAGAAACCAAGTGTTAGGTCTGTCCAAGTTTTGTTTGGTTGTTGTTTCAAAATAAGGTGGATTGGGATTGATCAGCCTTAGGATAGTTAAGTGGCAAAGAAGGCCCTGTGTAAGTATAATCAGTGAAGTGCATAACAAGGGTGGGCTAGTAGGAGAGATCTGCACAGTTGCAAGCAATGGGTTGGGTAAAGCACTATCTGTAAGAATTTAAAAAGAAAATTTAAAGTGAAAAGCCAGTCTGCTTTTTAGTATTACTATATATCTGCAATTTTAGAAAACATCAGTGATAAAATACTCTTCTGTAACAAGTTTTTTTTGGTCTGAGTTCTAAAAGATTTCAACAGTTACTGTTGTTTTAATTAATGCTGAATTTTAATTTGGAGTTTGTAAGCTCCAAATTAGCACATTTTAATTACTTTTAATAAGCTTTGTAGTCTAAGTGGAAGTTAATTCAGAGAACTTCTGGTTGTATAGTGAGTCCCCAACACAGGTGGCCTTGGTGGCATTTTTGCTTTAAGAGTAAGTTCTTAAGAGTTTGGAATTATCAGAGTTCATTTTACAGTTTGTGCCTCCAGCCCCTGAGGTAGTACATCTTCCTTTAAAGGAGAGATTTGAAATGCAATTTCATTAAAACCTAATGCTAACTAAAATTTGAAGAAGCAGAACTTCAGTTCTGGATGAAATATTTTCATGCACATTTTCTATACTCTGGGTTCTATAGAGGAATGTTAGAGGGCCTCTGAAATTGGTGACATAGAATGCAAAAAATGTTTGTATGTGTTGTATGTGTATTTTTTAAAAGCGATTCCATAAGTTTAATCAAAGAGGTCTGTGATCCAAAAATCATAAAGACCTCCAGGGATAAAATGTATCCAATGTATATTTTATATTCTTTGATGTTTTATAATGCATGGAATCAAATGAGGAGACATTTTTCTTTAAAAATATTTGCATTACTATTATAGTCATTTATGAAGTATATGCATATGCCATTCTCAATTATAAAATAGGATTTGCAAAAGGTGAAGTTGAAATCTAAGGAGGGTTATTAATAAAGGGCAAAAATGGGTACAAATAAGTGTTTCCATCCATAGTGACCCTTTACAGTTAATATATATAAATGTTATGGATTGCATGATATGGAGTATCTGGAGCATCATCATTTTGCTCTATTTGAGTACAAGTTTGGCCTCTCACAGCTATATGGATACAAGAGGTCATTCCAGAAATGGAGTTAGAATCATAGAATTTTAGCATGGAGGAGTCTGAACTTTGATCTGGCTTCTAGCCCTGACTTTAAGCTCAGAAAATATAAAATCATTGCTCCATGACTTGTCTCAAAAAGAAGAATAACTGCTAAAATTTCTTGGATGCTTACTATATGTTGAACACATATTTTTATCAATTATCCCATTCTTATCAGATAGATACCATTATAGGTCTATATTACATATGAAGGAACTAGACCTAGGGAAATAAGGTAATTTATCCAAGATAACTCAGCTTGAAGGTGGAAAGTGAGAATTCTGTCAGTCAGTCTCCCTCTAGAACCTGCTCACTTTACCACTACCTCCCTGTCATAATATAACTTGACTTCATCCATTTCCAAAAAAACCGTATTACCAGAGTTTCTTGACAGATCTGTTCCTATCCCACGTTGATAAACCTCTATCCTTTCATTAAATACTTCCAGGGAAGGAAATTCCACTACTTTCTTCAAAGGCCCATGGTGGTAACAAATGACTCTTTATTTAAAGGAAACCATTATTGAGTGCTTATGGCAGGTTAACAGTCAGATAGTACTGCTTCAAATGTCACACTCGATCATTGATGTTATGAACACAGAAATAAAGTGATTGGATTAATAAGAGCAGATTTGGGCAGGATATAATTGACCACAAAGAGGAACCAGTGTGTGTGTGTGTGTAGTATATATGAGGGACATATTTATCCTCATTTGGTGAAAAGCATGGTGAAAAATCATTTGATTATTCCTTGATGACAATATTTAAGATTGGTGGTGGCAGTTGTTTAGCCTGAGATTGCCAAAAACAGAATCTGATACAAGGACTTACTGAAAGTACTTTATTATGGAGTGTGATCCCAGGAAAGGAATGGGTAAAGGATGGGGAGCCAGGACGAGGATGTGTTAGCAAGCTGGCCACTGCTTCAGGTAACTGACTGCTGACATCGGCAAGACCACCCGAGAAGCTCTGTGGGAACACTTTTCAATATCCTTTGTTGGAAAATGGCAAAGGGACCATTTGTCCATGGGCTCCCAGGTCCCATTTGGTCAAAGACTGACCACAGAGTGTTTAATTTCTCATGTGTAGTCTGCACTGAAATGTCAGCCAAGAAGACTTCAGATGGGAGGAGAGATGTAAAGGAGGCTGAGGGTCAGGCACAGCCAGATTGTAGCCATGTGAAGCTGGTTGCTCTTGCAGTGGCTAAAAGGGACAGGTGAGGCCCATAGGATCTGAAGCGCTGCCTGGGACGTGTGTTATAGCAAGTGACATGCTTTCTTATAGATTCAGTTTTTCATTTTTTGGTCTCCTTTCCTATAAGGATGTCAATGTCCTGTCTATTATTTTCATTGTGTTGAACAAAAGATTCTCAGGCTTTCAATATCTGTTCATTCTTGGAATTTTATTGAATATTTACTAATATTCATTGAATATGTCAGGCCTGGTATAGGGAATTGGGGATAAAAATGTAAATATGATCAACAAAGTCTCTGCTGTTACAGAGCTTACAGCACCATCAGCTCTGTGCCTATCACAGTGCTAGCACACAATAGGCACTTTTTAAAGAAATGAAAAAGTCTAATACAGTCGGTATTAAACGAGTATTAAGTGCTGGGCAAATCTTCAATGCCTGGAGGAGTGTCCTACTAGATACACCACTCCATCATTCTTGCAGGAAGTCGTTTACCCACAGGCTATAATGGCTTATATCTGCCCTGGGAGTAAAGCCTGTTTACTTTATTATCAATGCACTGCCTAGGGATAGGGGAGGCTGAAATTTAGACAAATATCTGTACTTATGTGTAAGGTGCCTCTGAGGCCTAAGAGAACATTCTGAGGAGCTGGAATGCATGAGCACCACCAGATGCAGCAGCGGCCACACCTACGCTCACTTGGCACTCTTCCCAGGCAGAAGGTGGAAGATGCGCTGTTTCAGGGCCAGCATGCTTCCCTGGAGCATCCCAGTGGCCAGCCAACCACCCGCTGACTCTACCCAAGGTGCCTGGTTTCCGGAGCCAGCTTGTTTGAGCACCTCCGCAGAAGCACTCAGGTGGGAAATATATTGAGTCATTAAAATCTCTGAGGCACTGTTAGCTGCACTGTTGGTCACCAGGAAGACGCCATGTCAGGGACATATTTATATGGTAATAAACTTTCAACGCCTTAGAACGCTGCTGAAGTAAAAATGAAATGAGAATAAAATTATTCAAATGCCAAGATTTTGGAGGGCGGGGAAGTCTTCCCAGCCCCGTTGGTTTCCCTCCTGTCAGCTTTCCCATCTTCTGGCCTTCGGTGACAATGAAGCTGATTATTTTTGAATTAGCTGATGTATGGGGAGCTGTCACTGTCCTTTAGGATTCACATTAAACCCAGAGCAGAGTGACCAAGAGCGCGTCAGTACTTTATGGGGCTGTCAAGGCAGCGAGGCTGCTGGGGGCTTTCAGGGGGAACTTCCCACCTGTGGGGCGCAGCGGCGCCATTGTGTAGCTGCCGCAGGGCAGAGGGCCCAGGCTGCGAGCTAGAAGGGCAGAAAGGTAAACTCAGTTGGCTCTTCAAAGGATTCGCTCTAGTGACTGAGCACGAAGTCCCCCAGTGGCGACCCCTACCTGGCTCCCCAAAGAAAATTCTGTGGTTCAAAAAAAGTAGTGATTTCTTCTGGGGAATAGACTTGCAGGCCTGGAGGCGCCTCTTCCCTGGTGCCAGTGTTGGAGTTGGGGAGAAGCCGCCGGGAGAGAGCATCCGAGGCAACCGCCCGCGTGTACGCCTGCTTTAGGGACAGATGTGCGGTGCTGCGTGAGTGAGGGGTGCGTGGGGGTGGCGGTGTTAAGACTGCTTTGAGGGGAAGAAAGGCAGAAGCGTGAGGATACACAGCAGCGGGGACTAGTGGAGCCTCAGCTGCAGCAGAATGTGGGGGGCGGGGGGCGTTGTCGGGGCACAAGTTACTGGAACAGGCAAACTGACAGGTGGAGTTGCAAATCAAGCCCCAAATTAGTCACTCATTCCCTTCAGGGTACCTCTCCATTTAGGCAAAAATGTTTCAAACGATTTTAAGTTAGGGAAGCAGGGAAGAGAATGCGCCGTTGCCTTCTTAAACAAACATTTCACCCCTGCTCCACAAGGGAAGATGACCCCAGCATTCAAAAACGTGTGAGAAAGTAGTAGTAGCTTTGTCTGGGAAGCACAGTTGAAATCAAGACGCACATTTGATGGTTTCATCTTTACACCACAAACTAAGCTTGGGTCTTAGATAGGCCATTTTAACCTCCAGGTGCCTCAGTTGATCATCTGCCCTAGGAGAGGAACACGTGCTCGACTTCTGCGCGGAGCTGTAGTGCTGCTCGGACTGGAAGTGGCGCGTGTGACGGCTCCGGAGCCGGCACCACGCTCTACCCGTGGCAGGAAGGCACGTTGGTGTTACCCTCGAGCCCCGGGAGACTGGTGGAGGACGACTCCAGCTCTAAAATTAGTTCAGCTTCCAGGCCCCGCGCTGGGAGCTCTGGCCAGCTCGCCGCGCCTCCCCCACCCCCTCTCGCCCGCCCCCTCTCCCGGGCGCGCGGAGCTCGGAGACCGCCAGTCATCCCGGACGCCGGTGCTTCTCTCCCCCTCGCCCTTTTCGCTAGTGGTTTGGGAGGAGGAGACAGCGAGAGAAAAGCGAGAGGAGAGAGGGGCTTGGCCGTGCGTCGGCGTCGGCTGCTATGGGGAGCTGGGAGCAGCGAGGCGGCGAGCAGTAGCGGCAGCGGCGGCAGCTCGGAGCAGACGCGGGAGCCAGCACTCAAACCGGCAGGCTGCGCTGTGATCTGGGCTGCGGATTGGGATCTCGCGCCCCCGTCCCCCGCCTCCTGCTGCCGTTCTCCTCCTCCCGGCTCCCCTCCTCCGCCTGCGAGCCCCCGCAGCGGCGGCGGCTGCGTCCGGGCGCCGAGCGCCTCTGCTCGCGGATCCAGTCCCGGAGAGAGCGCGGCGGGCACTGCGGCGGCAGTGGCCGGGTGGCCGGCTCGCCCTGGGCTGGAGCTCCCGGAGAGGAAGACCACGGGGAAAACGCCTGCTGGAGCTGTGGATCGCCGGTGGAGGCAAGGGTGCGTGGGATTTTTAGCGTGATGATCTGGCTGCCGGGTGCACCGGCCGGAGCGCGCCTCCAGGAGGAAACCCGGCTGCGAGGTGGGCTCTGGGAGGCGAGAGCCGGCGGAGCGCATGGGGGAAACTTTTCACCTTTGAAAGTTCCTGCCTCCGCACGGCTCCGAGCCGCGGTCGCTGCCACTGCAAGAAGGAGGTTGGGTCTTGCGGCAGTAGCCGGGTTCGCAAGGAGTTGGCCAAGTTTGGGGTTGAAGATTTGGGGAAGAGGCGCGAGAGGGCTTGCGGATCGGAACACCCATCCCCGGGTCCCCAGAGCCTCGTCGGCCCGATGCAGGTGGATGTGAGGGACCAGGCGGGTGAGCACGTTTGGCAGCTGGTGTCTGGCGGGCGCAGTGGGAATGTTCAGAGGTCCATGGATGCACTTGGGGGACCCAGAGGCGCAAGTTGGGTCGTCGCTTGGAGAGGCGCCGAACAGAGCCGGGAGTCCAGACTCCACTTTCGCCAGGCAGGAGAAGGGGTTACTAAACAGTCTATTGGTCTGCTCCACGCTTCACTTGGGCTTGGGGGGTCATGGGCAGGATGGAATGTACTTGAATGGCAGCGGCTCACGGACTGGGGCGACATCCTTTTACCGGGTGGCGGGAGGAGGGACTTTTCCTGCTATTTTCTTCTAGGGAAACGGAGTGCCTTGGGAGAGTGCATGATTTTTGGCGGGCGGGAGTGTGTGTTGCTTGTCTTTGAAAAGAAAGCGGCGCGGGTCTGTAGGGCCTGGGGGGTGGGGGCGTTACAGCCTTCTATGGGTCTGGGGGCGGGAACGCGAAGTCGCGCCGGCTTCTAGCTCAAAGCCCCTTCCTGGTGGGTTCTGGATGGACCCCCTTGCTGAAACCCGTGTGGGTGTGGGGCGGGGGTGGGGGTCTGAGGGGCGGGAGAGGGAGGTAGCCGAGATGGCCAGGACTGTCTTCGCGCGGCTCCGGGTGCGCGCCCGGATTCCGCCAGTGGGGGTCGCTGAGCTAAAGTGCATCTGGTCCCCGGGCTTGCGCGAGGTGGCTAGCTCGGGTATTTTTAGCCTTGCTGTGGTCGGTATTTATCCCTGCAGTCTCAGACTGACTTTTGTCGCGTGTGCTTTGCGGGATGGTTAAACATTGACCACGATTAGGCTTCGTGGAAAGCAACTTTTGCTGACTTTCCCCGTGCCCTGCGGTAGTAGGCGGGGTGTGCGCGGGGTTCCAGATTGCGGGGGTGGCGGGAGTTTGGCTTGGCCCTAAGAGCGCCTCTTGGGTAGCCTGCTACAACAGGAAACGAGGCGCTCCGGGATGTGTGTATGTGTGTGTGTGTGTGTGTGTGTGTGTGTGTGGTGATGGTGGTGGCGTCCTGCGGCTGCAGCAACGTGTAATAATGGGGGCACAACCAGGCTGTGGAAGAGAGTGGCCAGTGTACATAAGGAAGACGGGGAGCGAGCCTGCAGGGACCGGGTGAGGTCGCCTTGGGGGTTAGGAGAGCCTCCCGGGAGGGAGAGGCGCCTGCGGCCAGGAGCGTGGGCGGTGGGTGGCGGGGGCCGGCGGCGTCTGGTCGACTCAACCCGCTTGGGTCCCCAGCCCTGTCTCGTCGCCGCTGCCGTGCGCACACCCGGACTGGCTTCTGGGCTGGGCAAGCCTGCGACAGCCGCGGCGGGAGCGAGGGAGGGAGGGAGGGAGGGAAGCACCGACCGCGCAAATGACTGAAGAGTCTTTTCTGTTGCCCCTCCTCCCGCCCTCGGACTCCGGCGCATTTGTTTTCCAAGTTGGATCTCTCTCCCTTTTACAAGTGTCAGACAAACCCGCGCGAACCTCCCCCACTCACCCCGGCCTCAGCCAGACGGGAGAGGGGGCGGGGGGCGAGCTGTCTGGGCAGCGCCTGGGGCCGTGCGACGCTCCCACGGGGGTCTGGCCAGCTTGAGTTCACATTCATGGGTCCTTGATGTTTAAAAAGATACCCGTAAACAAACAACGAAATGCAAACCACTCCTGGCCACTTGTATTCCGCCGCTTTCCCCCGTCTTCGCCTCGGACGTATTAATTTTCTGGTCCCAGCGCTTGTCTTTTCAAAGGCGAGTCGGGGGTGGTAGGAGGAAGAGGGCGGGGGAAGCAGGCGGACCAGTTCATCACGGTGGGTTTGTGCTCCTGGCTTTGTTGGTAGAGTTAGATTTTCTGATTGCTCCTGGGCTGAGTTAAAATATATGCACAGACTGAAAACTGACTGCAGCCGCCTTTGCCCCTGATCCAGGCAGCAAATTCAGGTGGTGGAATGGGGAAGCCCGCCATCTAGGAACTGAGGACCGAGGTGCCCCCTTCTCAATATCGATCAGAGAGAACCCAGCTTTCTCCACCAGCAGACCCTGAACTTCTCTTACCGCTTATCGAACGCCTGAATGATGTTCTTGTTTGTGACTTGGAGATCTGAATCTGAGTAGGAAAGGAAGGGAAGGGATAGCAGGGAGACACGGAGAGAGAAGAGATGGAGAGATTGAGATTATGCAGAATCCTGGAAATTGCACAGAGCTAACTGCTCCTGCTTTTTCTTTTTTGAGTTCTTACCCCTAAATCGGAGCAGCTGAGCAGTGAGAGAATAAAGAACAGCTAAGAAAACCCAGGCGCCAAGAGACAAAGACAGAAAATGCATTAACTTTAGCGCTTTGATGTGCTTTTTTTCTAATAAGGTTGTAGTGGGGGAAGGGTTTTTTTAAAAAACATTTTACGCGGAGAAAAGTTGTCTTTCCAAATTAAACTGAATGCTGATGGACAATCATGAAGCCTTGCTGTTGGCTTGCTGGAATTTGGGCAATGAATGGTGCTGGGATGAGAAAGTTCCCAGAACTGTTCGGTTATAATGTCTTCATATCTGAACCACACAGAACTCCACATGAAAGGCTGCTGGCTCAGAGATCACAAACGGGTTGGCTGCTGGGGCGGGCTGCATCTTCTAGCTCCACAATTTTCGCAGCCAGTGTTTGCTAACCAAGGGCTGGCTCTCAAGTTCACCTCTCTCCCCTGCCCTTTTTTTTTTTTTCCTTCAAATTTTATTCTGGTTCCTGGCAAGAGTCATTTTGAGGATTTTTTTCTCAAATAGTCAAGATCCAGTCTATTTGTTAACTAGCAATTACAGTTGTGCTGAGCTACTCAAAAATGAAATGAGTACCCATCAACAGATTGGATGCCCACTGACCGGGATGCTATCTGGTTATTTTGCCAGCTCACAGCTTTTTATAAAGCTGCAGCTCTTCAGGCTGCTCACAGAAGAACATTTTGATGTGTCAGGTTATGTTATCATCCTTGCTTGCCTCATACGCTGCTGGGTGGTGACCTGCTCTAATCTGGCTGATGCGTTATGTCAAATACAAAGAAGTAGGCAGTTATGAGGGGGGAGAGGATATTTCGTCATTACCAGCTAGTTCCAGGAGTGTTCCTCCTGGCTGTCCTGTTATGCTTTATAAATAGCTCATAAAACAAATAGGACCAACGTGGCTTCTTCACCTTCCCATTGGCAGAGTTGGTTGTGACATTCCATGGTACCCCACATCAGTCCAGTTGATAGGTGGGTTGGCTTTTTCCTGTGGGGTAGGAGGGAAAGCCTAATACAGGGGGTGTTTGGTTTCTTCCCTCGGGGATCATTCCCAGGTTTTTGCCTTCTGCAGGAGCACTGAGTGGTATCATCTGATGGGATCAGCTGGGCCAGTCCATTCAGATTGATTTCCTTTGATTGTTGAGGAAGAACTATTGATGAACCCTTGTCTTTGCTGATTGTGACAAACCCCAGGGAGGAATTAAAATAAAAAAAGGGATCTGACAGGACAGACTTGGAGGGAAGGACATGTCTCCTGCCTGCCTCCTCCCTGCACATAGGGGAGCCTCTAGTTTCCCACAGATAAGCATAAGCTTAAACAAGTAAAGGAAGAGACACAACCCCTGTATATATATTGGTTTGTTTGTTGACAAAATTTTCTGAAATACTTTTCAATCTCTAATTGTCGAATATGCCCTTATGAACCTCTTTCCTGCCCCATTGTGAGGGTTACGTCTGTGCTTTATAGTCTGTCTTCTTGAGGGTGACCACAGGGCCTAGTGGCCTAATACATACTTGGGGCTTACGTGACTTCCTCTGTGAAGACCCTGAAGGTAAATTTCTTCTCTGTGTTTTGGACAATTTGATTCTATAGACTTTCTCAAACGTACTCATTTTTTTCTGTCAATTGAAGAGCATTTACTCCTTTAATAAGCTCTTTTCCTTCTGTGCCTACAGTGCCTCCTTTTCCCCAAATTTCTTTCCAAGAATAATTAAATTACAGGAAAGCTTGCCTTTCCTTAAAGAAAGAAAAACAAATAGATTCAGCTTAATGCCACAGACTGAATTTATTGAGAACATATTTGACACTTGTCTAGTGGCTTCCAGCCAGTTGCTCGTCTACCAGAATAGGCTGTCAGCTACATATAACAGTGACAAATGACCGTTGAAGTAGTTTTGGATTGGAATGGCACTGCCAGCTTAGTCTTAGTTTTAGCCAGTTCTAGGACTGAGATATTTATATATTAAGTAGAAAGGATGAAAATTTGAGAATGGAACTGGCATGATGATAGAGAAAATAGAAAACAGATTTCAAATCCTAATGATTAAATTATTCTTATAATCAAGGATTGTCCTTTCTTTACACAGTGCTTTAGGAGTGTTGCCTTAACTGAACAAAAGTCATACAGGGGCTGCTGAGAAAGGGACCCTTGGGCAGATTGTCATGTTTCATCTTTTTCATCTTTGAGGGTTCCAAGACTGTGGATTACAATCTCCATTTAATAAAGGAAATTTGTTTAATTAACTCTTGCCCTTGTATGGCTTAAATTTAACCCTTTGTTTTCATTCTATGAAGTCACACTTTACAGAATTTTAAGTTGTTTCCTTTAACAAAGGTTTTACTTTTTTTTTCCTGTTTTATTTTTTGCTTCCTTTCCCTCTTTAACAATTTCATTTCTTTTAG